TCGGTCTCGACGACCTTCAGGGTTGCTCGCCATAATATATAGTGTATTGCATAATTTAAAAGTTGTACAAATTGTCAATATTAAAATTTATTACACAATATTCATATGAGAGTTGTATGAATTAATGATTTCCTTGCAAAGGATATAAAAGTGGTTCTGCTATTGTGCCTTTGTCGGGTTATTTGATGTTTCCATCTAAAACTTCACGTAGATTAAGTTTACGTGTTTGGAAAAAAATAGAGTCCCTTAGTTTAGGATTCCTTTAGTATAATATATAATAGATTTTTAATTTATTGATCAGTTATCTAATTTACTCGTTAACACACTTGCTCCGTAACAGGCCGATATCGGCCTGACGAGGTACTTAAACTGGTTCGGACGAAAAAAATTATGTACCTTTCGCTAGTGCGGAATGATTATCTCAGATGTATACATTACATTACATAAAATGTAGGCATTATGTTTTCACAAAATTATAGTAATTTAATCTATCCTAGTGCTGGTGGGTCTAAAAAGACCTGCCACGGACTTGCGGAATTAACATCGGGGGCACATTTTGGCCCGCCGCCGCACCGGATGTAGAATTTTGATTTTACTTGCCGCAGTAAACATGTTAAAATAAATAGAGGATCGGAAGTCAAACAGATGTTGAAATAAAACGAAAGAAATATATTTGTAATATGTATTTCTTGATATTAAAATGACTTTAGTTATTAATATTATGTTAATTTAATAAAAAATATAACTCGTAAACGTCATGTTTATTATGAATTATTCATAATGTTAATATGAAAAGTAAAAGCGAAGTTATTGGAAGAGCATCACCAAAAAAATATACATATTTATAAAATATCAACATAAATATAAGATAGCGCATAAATATATAAATATCGATAAATGAAGATGCCAAAAATAATATTTTACATAAATATTCATAATTAAGCATATTTACAAAAGGCATGATAAGCAAAACATAAATATTATATTATAAAATAAAACAAAAAGAAATATAAGAAAAATTAAAGCTTAAAAAAACTTAAAATAATATTTTGTACTATATAACAAAACAGGTACAATGTAATAAGTAGCTTTGATGATGCGAGAACAGTTAAGGTACAGTTTCACTAAATAATTTAAATAAATTATTAAATAATAAATTAATTCTCAACATTTGAGGTCCGTTAGACTTAGTATCTAAATTTGGATTGTCTTAAGTTTAGTTGGAGTAAGCGCTGTAGGCGAGGTTCTGTGCATCTTGTGACCTTCCCCAACCGCCGTGAGCGCTGCCATGACTGAAATGCTCATCATGATGAGGATGGGCGACTACTTCATAGCTCTCATGGTGTTCGTTCTTGGACAGTAGTTTCTTGAGTAACAGAAGCGCGGACGCAAGTAATGCTGCTTTAGCCAACATTAAACCCTTGACTGCAGCGAAGGCGATGATTCCAAGGAAGAGTGGGATGAGAGATTGGATTTTCAATTGCAGAAGGGCGAAGATGGGAAGGAGCTGCTTCAACTTCTTCTTCTTTCCACGGCCTGGAAGAATGAAAACGTATTTCTTTATTTTAAATTCAAAAGCATTAAATAACAACGCCTAACCCCATAATGCTGGGTTACTGAAGTTTCCATTTATTTATATTATACCTGGTGATTCATTAGTTTCATTTTAAAGGACATAAACTCAAGTTACGTGTTCGGAAGTAGAACCAACAAGTCATCGAACCATAAACACTAACGAATGGTTAAATTTATCTAAGAAACTGGCCATCTCTGTTAATCCAGAATTACGATAAATACAAAAGTAGAATTAAAATCACATTTAAACGCTGCTGTCTATAAATTGTTAGTAATACTAGCTTTCTGACTCCGTTCGCGTGGAATTAAAAAAAAACAAAAGTCAGTAGCCTATGTGTCCTTCCAGACTACCATTTACACCCGTACCAAACTTCATCAAAATCTATTCAGTTTTGGTTACATCTACATCCATCCATCTAAAATTTCGCATTTATGTTAGTAATATGTGTATTATTTACAACGAGCTGTTGCCCGCGACTTCGTACGCGTGGTGTTAGAAAACATACAAACTATAAAAAATACAAAAAGCTGCGTATCCCTCGGGAACCGGACATTTCTCGGAGATGAAACTTATCCCATGTGTACTCCAGACTTTGTTTTATATCTGTGCCAAATTTCAATAAGATATGTTGAACCGTTGCAGAATGATCGAGTAAACATTAAAAAACTAAATTAATGAATCCCACGGGAACCGTAACTATTCCCGGGATAAAAAGTAGCTTATGTGTTCTTCCAGACTATGCTCTAAACCTGTGGTAAATTTCATGAAGATCCGTTCAGCCGTTTAGGCTACAAACGCTAACAAACATCTATCCATCCATCAATCTAAACTTTCGCATTTATAATATTAGTAAGAAGTAAGATTGATATGTAGCTGTGTTATATAGAGGTTATTTAAACGGTCTCATAGTTATAATCTATGAAAAAAGTTATTTAAGGTAAAAGTATCCAAGGAAAGAGTTGTATTAATTGTTATGTAAATCTCCAGACTGAATGCAAATTATAAAAAAAGTAGAATAAAAGAAAGTTGTTTATATAAATTGTCACGATTCAAGCGCACAGTCAACTTGTTAATTTCTAATTCCGTATACTAATTTGAATACAAGAAATGCACTTCGAAATTCAAAACACACGTCGAATGAAACTCACACAGGCTGATTGTAATTCAATGTTACGTTCAGTTTGCATAACAACCTCGTTTATCTAGAAAGCAGCATCGATTACTGAGTTACAATTCGAAAGCTCTCCAAGCCTACCATATTTCGTCTGAGATATCGCCCCGAGCGACTTTTACCTACAGAAAGAGCGGAAATCTCAAACTAGTTGGATAGTCCTACATACAGCAAAAACTAGATGTAGGTAACTTTCAACTATAATGAGTGGTGTTAATAGGTTAGAGAAATCCCAAGTAATACATGTTTAGATTTCTAGATACATCTTCAAGTCTTAATTACTGATATGGACTTGTAAGAAAATCTTATCATTTAACATGCAATTTTCTAGTTATAATGTAGTTACAGTTAAATAATCAAATACACTTCCTAATTAATATCTAAAAATAAACAATCACAATACACCACGCAATATTGCTGCTAAAAATTTTCGATCTTAATTTTGTGCGTCCAATGATGTATCTGATGGGTAGGAAATAAATTTCCTCGACTGTGCACGCTGAGTAACAATGATAGAAAACTTTCTAATTTAGAGGTTCACCACGTGCGGGTTCTGCCGATCAAGTGGTTTTCAAACATTACAAGTGTGTGATGAACAACAGAATATACAAGTGATCTTACATAACGCTAACCAAATTTATCATATAGATAGTACAAGCCAAGTCCATGAGTGAATTAAATTCTTTGATTGCATTTTTAAAATCTAATACTTCTATCAAATGTTAGTAACTAATGTGTCAATACATTCCAAACTAAAATTAGAACCTCTTCAATCTCAAACCATCTTATCTTACTAATATTATAATTGCGGAAGTTTAGATGGATGTTTGTTACAGTTTGTAGCCTAAACGGCTGAACGGATCTCGATGAAATTTGACATAGATGTAGAAGATAGTCTGGATGAACACATAGGCTACTCACTTTCCTTCTTTATAATTCCATGCGGACGGAGTCGCGGGCGAAAGCTACTATACCTTTATTTATTGGCACTAAACAATTTACATTCGTCAAGCATTTGACCGCAGCAATTTTTTAACTGTCAATTGAATTGCATAGTTAAAGTTTTGCCAACACACAACTAAGACTGAACTTGTTTGAAATTTATTATCTAGTTAACTTGACAAACTGAATTTTGTAAGCATTTTGATAATTAAAAGATGCATCTAAAAGTATGACGCATGATAATTTAAAAGTCATTAAATTGAGTTTGACATAATTCTCTCCATTATGTAAAAACAAAATTTCGCCCGCGTGTAATTAAAAAAAAAAAAACAAAAGTCAGTAGCCTATGTGTTTTCCAGACAATCCTCTACATCTACGCCAAATTTCATCGAGATCCGTTCAGTCGTTTAGGCTACAAACTCTAACAAACATCCATCTAAACTTTCACATTTACAACATTAGTAAGATTAGTAAGATAAAACATCAATACTTTTATGACAGATATATAGTAAACCAATAAATCTGCTTAATCTTAGTAACTAGTATGTAAAATCACTTATAGAAGAAAAAAAAACCGTTTTTCACAATTAATATTGACAGATTTGTGTCAAAAGATAACGTAACAAAGATTACATTGTTAAAAAAAAAAAACAGATTGCAAAAACAGAACCATTTTATTTAGTGTCTTATAGAGAACTTAGTTTTCACTTCCATTCTGTTTATATTAAGTCTAAATAATATATTCTACTGTAGGTTTTGATTATAGTGATAATTGTATTAACATAGCCATCTTTATCATTTTAGAAAAATAAACGGGACTAGAATCTCCACAAATCTATACTTATTATAATAAAGCGTAAACACACACTTCTTTGTTGCCTAAGATGTCAGCAATTACAGCATATTTTTGTATAATTCTTTTTTTAATAAAAACCCCTACACTTACGTCACGATTTAGGCTATAGATTTTCACGCCGTTAAACTTAGGCGATAAATATTTTGAATTAAAACCTTAATGTGGGAGACCATAAGTTGCCAACATCAAGGAAGCAAGGTTGCCATGGTTTGTCATAATTTCATGTCATTTTAGCATATGCAATTGATAATTTGACGCATGTAAACAACAAAACAAAAACTTCATAATTTTTTGCGGATGAAGTCGCACGGGAACAGCTAGTATTTAAATAAAGTTCGATAACAATCGTGGTTACACGGTCTCATAGTTTCGAAATAAAATTAATTTATTATTAAAAAAAAAAAGAAATCCGTAGTGTTCAGATAACGAGTTAGTCTATAAATTATATCCAATTAAAAAAAGACTTTCACGATCACGTTAATTCAGTGAACAGATACTCGTATTATAATTAATTAAAACTCTCCTTGATAAAATCTACAACATATAACTAGTTATGTTGTGCAGGCGAAATAAGTGTGCAAATTTAAATCAAAGATTAATTTGCTATTACATAGAGAATAGAGTCTAATAACGAACCAAACTGGAATGCACTATATCAGGGAAGGTAAACCTTTACATATAATAAGGTTATAGACGATCCATCAAATAATGTTTGGATTAAGAACATTCCGTTGTGTATTCATTGGCATCCAGAAGTTTTAAAACTTCACCTTTTTTCATAATTAATTTTGTGATCAGTGTACTGTTAAAATATTGTATCGCGTGCCACTGGTTCGCTACCGCTGGACTTTATTATTTTATCTCAAATGAAAATGTTTCTAACCTCTGCTTTCAAACGTTTGTTAAATAATGACGTAATCTCTGAACGTTATTAATAATTACGTTTTTAAAATTATGATTATTTATAAATGTTAAGGTTTAAGATAGGCACAGAGAGTATGAATTAAAATTAATTCATTTGCACTAGTCCTATATTATTATAAATGCAAAAGTGTATATTAGATTTATTAGAATTTGTAACCTAAACGGCTGAACGGATTACGGTAAATATCAAAAGTATCAAATTATATATTTTTTTAAATTAAAATCGTCTACTAGAGCTTAACGAATAGTTTGTTTAACACCAATTTCAGCATATCTTGTTTATTATTGTAACAAAGTTATTGGAGTACTCATAACTTAATTTCTAACATACAAATAATGTATTTAAGAGATAACTTACCTTCCTCAAGTGACCTTTTAACATCTTCGACCGCGCCTTTCGGTATTCTCAGTTGAATGACATGGTTTTCAAAGAAGTCAAGGGCGGTGTCAATAAGTCTGCCCTCAACTTGGTTCTCCCTGGCCTTTGGTTCCTCGGATAATGGCTCGAATGACCTCGCTGACCTTGAAGAGCCGATCCCGATGAGACTGATCCCATCAGTGATGCTTACTTCCCTAGCCGCTGCCAAATTTTCAGCGTATTTGAGTGCTCGTTCCTGTTATAGACAAAATTTAGTTATTTTTTTATTGTATTTTTAAAATTAGAGATATCTCACTTTGTTGTAAATATAACTATTAAATAAATGTATAAGTTATTATTAGGACAAGTTTTATAATTGAAATTTAACTTTTAATTGTTACTAGAATTTAAGTATGATATAGTCAACCAATTGACAACCGTATTGCACTTAGTTCCTATTTGTAGGTCGGAATTATTTATTCCGAAGAATCCATTGTTTCAACACTTCACAATCACACACCTTGAGGCACAAAGAGACATCTTCTTCAGCACAATTCTTCACCACACCGATGACTGAACCGACGACATCTTCATCACCGGTCGGTTTCGCGGCTGTCACACCTAAACACACGAGTGCTAGAAGGATCGCCTTCATTGTATCTATTCCGTATCGATGTAACAGAGTGTAAAGCCTGGAGTGTACGATGTTGTTTTTATTCGATGTACCCCCACTGCGGTTCTGTTCCCGCCGAATTGCGTACGCGCGTAGAGTACTGAAGGGAGAGGTGACCAGTGCAATTGTAGAGTACGCACGACATAACTACAGTATTACTCTGTGCATGATACGATGAACATTGTTAGAACAGGATTTTATTTTAATATTAGAATCACATTAAAACAATTGTTCTAATTGTTGAGTTTAACAATGTTGTGATTTTAAAATAATTGTTATAGCTTATATATACGTGAAAGATTTGAAACACTTTCATGTTAGGAAAGTTTTGTTAGTTTTACAATTGTTTTAATTATTTAAATCTGTAATTTTAAAAGTGTAACATTTGATTTATGTAATGTATTTGTGATCTGAGTTTATTTATTGTTGCAGTGTCTTCATTTTAAATTATTTAACTAGTACTTTTTTAAATACAATTAATAAAATGCTTACATTTTTATGTTAACAATGTTTAGTTAAAATAAATATAATGTTATAATAATTATTAATAATAATAATATAGACCCTTTATTCTGAAATTATTCAGTTAACTATAGTTGAGTATGGATCAAGTTCACAATATGTCTCTAATTTCAGTGTGCCTCTTGTCATAGGCCTCCTCTAAACATTTCCATTGGGTTCTGTCGTGGGCAACTCTCTTCCAATTTGGGCCGGCTGTCATTTTTATGTCATCCTCCCATCTTAGAATCTGCCCTTCTTTTACTGTCTCTCGGTAAATATAATGTTTTAAGGGTGTAATTAAGGTACAAAACAAGTCTATTAGAGCTAAGCATACAAATGACTTTCAATGTGAAATGCAACGGCCAGTGAAATTACACTAACTAGACTAGGCTAATGCCCCAAGGCTTTAAACGTAATGACGTAGGATCTTATTTTAAATTACAAAGACTATAATTTCCATATTATCAATGTTTAACTAATTTCATAAGACTTTTAAAGTATATTTTATGGATTACTGATGTAGTGGAAATAAATTTTAATGCACGAAAAACAAAAAAAAATGAATATAAGACAATCTAAGGTTCCACTGCTAAAAACTTCTGTCCTCCCTTTCATCCTCCTTGAAAATACGATAGATAACAATGTTTTCTTATAACTAAAATTCTAATTTATATGAACAATATATAGTTTAGAACCGATGTATGCATGCAAACTTACGTATATAGTTATATCTTTATTTTTTTATTATTTTTTTAATTTCACGTATAATGACCGTAACGCCGTTATGGCCGGATTATTGTTTACGAGAACGATATCTTTGTTTTATGTTTGCGTTGAAATTGTTAGTGCTAATTATAATTTGTGCGAAATAATATTACGTTGTTTATGTTTTGTATAAATTAAAATAGTGCTTAAATATTCTGAAGTAAAAGGACTATAAAATATAATAGAAAAAATATATATTCTATTTTTTATGTAATTGACGTAAATATACTAATATTACTAAGAGATTTTTTTTGTACGTATTATAACTTAAAAATTTCTTGACCGATTTTCGAAATAAAAATACCATAAAAAAGCTACGTTATCAATGTAACATAGGCTATTTTTTAATTGGTTACTAATTTTACGCGGAAGAAGTCGAGAGCAACAGCATTTAAAAAAAAAATACAGACCTAATATAATTGTATACTTTAATTTAGTAAGAAATTATTCTTTAAACTATATCTAAGTTACTTGTGGTTAAATATTTAAAGTTATATAACTTACAAATAAGTTACATCATCGCCAACAGGTAATATGACCTAGATATACTCTGTCGTTGTTCAAACCAAATTTCAATTCACAGCATAAACTGTTTAAACAATACTATTTGTTTTTTTGTCAATGATAATATAATGTCTTTTACATTTATCTTCTTATCACACTTCATACTAATATTATAAATACGAATAGATGGATGGATGTTTGTTAGACTTATTACTTATAGCCTAAAATACTGTACGGACTTTGATGAAATTAGGCATAAATGTAGAGGATAGTCTGGAAGAACACATATTAACTTTTGTTTTTTTTTTTCAATTACACGCGGCTGGAGTCACGGGCGAAAGCTAGTTTTATTATAAATCAGAAAGTTTAGATTGATGTATGCTGGTAATAGTTTGTAACCTAAACTGCTGAACGAATCAAGATGAAATTTGGTATAGATGTAGAGTAGAGAATAGCGCGGAAGTACACGTAGACCACATACTTGTATTCCATGCGGACGGAGTCGCAGGAGAAAGCTAGTGATAAATAAAAAAAGATGCCACACGATATATCCGATAGCACCACCACACTGCACGTATGGGATTGCTCTTAAGTGTTTTAGTGCAAATGACATTGATAAATCAGTTTAACTAGTATTTAGAATAAGAATTATTATCTTCATCCACACGGACGTTTTAGTAACGCTCGGCAATGGCGCTTTTTTAACGCTCTCGCTTTTAAGAATGCGTTAAAATCATTGCGGTTTCGTTCCTCTGGCGATAAAAATGCAAGACTGTGCTATAAATAAGCACTGTGCTCTAAAGGCACTGCCGTANNNNAATTATGATATGAACGTGTTCTATTTTTGTTTTTATAACGCGCGTTAAAAACGCGCCCGTATGAATGGGTGTTTATTCTTAAGTCCTGTTTTTTGTGCACTCAAGTAAAGAACTAAGCAAGTGTTATATACTTAATTGTTTAGTTTCTAATGTTACATAAGTTGCGTGAATTCGCACCGTAACACGTTTTATATGATGGCTCACGAATTTCTATTTTAAGTTGTGCTAAGTCATCGTATATGAGTTTAAGTTATTTTTTTAGCTTAGAAATGAATATGATATTGTACTTTAAAGTTTGAGTGAAAGCATAAACGTATTTGCAAATTCATTTCTTTTTTTTTTGTTACTGGTAAAATGCTGGCAGTAAATTTAATTAAAAGTACAATTCTATACTTTTAAATTATCTATAAATTATATGCCAGTAGTCTAGTAGTTTAGAAATCTGCCAGCGAAACCTAAGGTTGTGGATTTAAATGCCGTACGACTATAAATGTAAGAAACATGTTTAAAAATTATTAACATAATTCTAATAAAGAAAAATATCAATTTTAGTACCACAACAATCTACTAGTACAAGTATATCTTACTTATGGGAAAGTTGTAATGGATGTTACTTAGAGTTTGTAGCCTAAACTGCTGATCGGATTTTGATGAAATTTGGCATAGATGTAGAGCATAGTCTGTAAGAACACATGGGCTACTTAATTTTGTTTTACTTCATTCTACGTGGAAGGAGTCGCGGGCGGAAGCTAGTAAATCATAAAATCTAATAACCAGACAGAGTGGCACCTCCAAGGCTTTGTAATCAATGGTTATTTAAACTAATATCCCACTGCCGAAACATGTATCAAATTGTATAGCCACCTTTCTTCATCAGTATGAAGAAGACAAAGATAGCAATACATAACAGGTGTGCTGTTTGTAATGTAGGCTAAGCTCGTTATGTAAATGCTCGAAGCGATAATTATTTCTAGCTTTTTCATTTAATTAAACGTCGGATAGTTCGTTTTTAATGATTAAATTTCTTTCATACGATAATTTTGTGATCCCATTTTTTTATTATTATAGTGAACACTCTATAGATAGTTAATCTGTACCCGGTTTGGTATACTTTTAAAATGTATTTCAAAGTAGTAATTGACCGCGAGTACATTCATGCGGATCAAAAAAACAAAAGCATGTAGTCTATATGTTCTTCCAGACTATATTCTTCTACTGATAACTTTCATTACGATTCGTAATTTTACAACAATCATGATATATCATAATACATGGGTTTTAATTTAAGTAATTTTGTATGTCAACTAAATAATATAAAAGGTCCACCCACATCCGTAATTATGGTTAAGGCAAATTTTAACTATTTATCTAATGTTTAATATAATTTACTAGCTATTGCTTACGACATCCTCCGCATGAAATAAAAAAATGTAGCTTATGTGACGCACAGATAAATTACCTTTCTGACGGTGAAAGAATTTTTAAAATAAACCAAGTAGTTTTTGAATTATTTCAAAACATACGAAAATACAAATCTCTCCTTTTATAACATTAGTATATTAGATTTAGCTTTTTATCATTGTTTGTATGTTGCAAATAATAATCTAAGTAATAAATAAGAAAACTAACAAAACATTCTAAATATTCACTTATAACTTAGAGTAATAAAACTTATATAAGCTATTACTTAACAAGATCGTGCGAATTAAATCGAACGTAATTTTAATATTGCATCCGTTAACACTTTCTTCCGAATTCGAACTAAAATGATCACGCGAAATATCGATCGTTCGATAATTTAACGACTAATAAAAACTTTCATTCGTATACGACAATTAGTAACACATCGTGGACGATCTCGTCCACGTAATAAAATAATAAATCGAATCAAACCGTGAGAAAACGGTAACGAATTCATCGGAAGTCATTACGTGTATCGCGAAGTTACTTCCAGTTCCGGTGATTTTAAACTTACGGAGACATTTATGTTTTTACAAAACATTCGAATATCTTTAGTGATAGAAGGATTATTTCGCCGGTAATCGTATTTGTATTTTGTATTTTTAATTCTTACTTATAAAGTTTATAAAACGTTCTTTTGTTTCTTTGAACTCTCTTAGCTTTCTTTCACAAATGTTTCATTAACATAATTGCCTTCATTGCCTTACCTTTTTTCTACATAGGGTTAATGTATACAATTCTTTACTTAATTATCGTTATGTAGAAATGCGTTTCTGAACTACGTGCGAGTTTTACTGCTTTAAAATTTAGTTTTATCTAACACTAATCAATCAGTTTATGAAATAAATGAAAACTATAGGAACTCAGCATAAATTCATCTTTTTTTTTAACCTACCTTTGAAAATAATTTATAGTACAAGCAAAGGCAAACGGACGCCTTAATTCCTAGAGTAGCAAGGCAACCGCTACCCATAGATAT